TTGACAAAGTAATAACTTTTAAAATTAATTTTAAACCATTAAGAAGTAATTTTATTCAAAATCTGAGGAAATTTTCACCTTAGATAATTGTTCAAGCATTCTGAAAATCTACCGGAAAGTTTTTCTAGCTTGCTCCTTCATAAAGATATTCGTCATTGAAGTTTGTGCTTTTTTGAAGAATTATTTTATAAAAACGTCAATTTTGCGATTTAGTATTCTCTGGTGTTGGGCCATGCCTTGGGTTGTGGAGCTCAGTTCTGCTTCCTATAGGTATAAATTGTGCATTAGGCTAGTTTTAAAGTTGAAAATCGAAAAGTTGCACACGTGGGGACACGCCCAAATTGATAGAAAATTACTAAAATCACTGAAAATTGCTGTTTTCGTCATTTTCTGTCAACTTTAGAGTGCCGTTGTGATTACAGTTCTTTTTGAAATACTTTGAAACTTTGCATGCTTATCAAGCTATATATAAAACAATTACATGCAAAATTTTACAGCGATTTAGTATTGGATGCGCACGCAACGTCCGCTCAAAGTTTGCACGTGCGAAAGGTGAGAATTTTGCTCATTCATGATTTACAACAAATTCTGCTTTGCCACGACAGTTTAATGTCATTATATATGAATTTAATGCCAACTTGAATGAGTATTAAGTGGCATATTCAGTCAGTGATCGACCGATATGCTTCCCTAAACACAAGGAAATGTTTTTAAAGGAAAAATTTCGAAATCGTTGAAACTTCCTCCTTATTAATGAAGATATCAGTTTATATTTCGACTTTATAAAGTACCCTGACATTATAATCAAAAAGAAATGATATTTTACCAAAACCCATAATCATGGGTAGAGTGGACCGCTGCCAGTGTCTCTCTTTCCCAAATAAAAAGGAAATGATATTAATTTGATTGACCGTTCTCAAATGCAAAATGATACCGAGAATGAAATCGGTCGCTCGCTTTTCCCATTCATTTACAATTGTATAATAGATTAAGAAGAACTACCCAAAGGCAGCTGTACTCGGCAATGAAGATTCAATAAACTTCAACTTGTTCAATAAGTAATAACTACCACCCTTGTCCCTTTCCCCGAAATACTAGGTATCGACCCGAACGCAACCCAAAGAGATTTTTACAGCATCTGATTGATGTAATCAATCGAAACTTATTTATACAATTCGTAAGCCGTGAATGAATGGGAAAAGCGAGCGACCGATTTCATTCTCGGTATCATTTTGCATTTGAGAACGGTCAATCAAATTAATATCATTTCCTTTTTATTTGGGAAAGAGAGACACTGGCAGCGGTCCACTCTACCCATGATTATGGGTTTTGGTAAAATATATACATACATATATATATTCAGGGATAGACGCTTTGCCAGTCAATTGTAGCCTGTATTTAATTGTCCATAGATTCAAAAGTATAAAAGATACAGCCATTTCCTACCACAGGTCTTGAAAATAATTGTTTACACTTTAGTTTACATTGTATAAACAAATTATTTGACGTCATGAACACCCCTTGATGACGTCATCAAGTTAACCGTTTTTAAAACTTGATTTTTGACAAAGTAATAACTTTTAAAAATGATTTTACACCATTAAAAAGTAATTGTATTCAAAATCTGAGGAAATTTTCATCTTAGATAATTGCTCAAGCATTCTGAAAATCTACCGAAAAGTTTTTCTAGCTTGCTCCTTCATAAAGATATTCGTCATTGAAGTTTGTGCTTTTTTGAAGAATTATTTTATAAAAACGTCAATTTTGCGATTTAGTATTCTCTGGTGTTGGGCCATGCCTTGGGTTGTGGAGCTCAGTTCTGCTTCCTATAGGTATAAATTGTGCATTAGGCTAGTTTTAAAGTAAAAAATCGAAAAGTTGCACACGTGGGGACACGCCCAAATTGATTAAAAATTGCTAAAATCACTGAAAATTGCTGTTTTCGTCATTTTCTGTCAACTTTAGAGTGCCGTTGTGATTACATTTCTTCTTGAAATACTTTGAAACTTCGCATGCTTATCAAGCTATATATAAAACAATTACATGCAAAAATTTACGGCGATTCAATATTGGATGCGCACGCAACGTCCGCTCAAAGTTTGCACGTGCGAAAGGTGACAATTTTGCTCATTCGTGATTTCCAACAAATTCTGCTTTGCCACGACAGTTTAATGTCATTATAAATGAATTTAATGCCAACTTGAATGAGTATTAAGTGGCATATTCAGTCAGTGATCGACCGATATGCTTACCTAAACACAAGGAAATGTTTTTAAAGGAAAAATTTCGAAATTGTTGAAACTTCCTCATTATTAATGAAGATATCAGTTTATATTTCGACTTTATAAAGTACCCTGACTTTATAATCAAAAAGAGATGATATTTGACCAAAACCCATAATCATGGGTAGAGTGGACCGCTGCCAGTGTCTCTCTTTCCCAAACAAAAGGAAATGATATTAATTTGATTGACCGTTCTCAAATGCAAAATGATACCGAGAATGAAATCGGTCGCTCGCTTTTCCCATTCATTCACAATTGTACCTAATAGATTAAGAAGAACTACCCAAAGGCAGCTGTACTCGGCAATGAAGATTCAATAAACTTCAGCTTGTTCAATAAGTAATAACTACCACCCTTACCCCGAAATACTAGGTATCGACCCGAACGCAACCCAAATTCAAAGAGATTTTTACAGCATCTGATTGATGTAATCAATCGAAACTTATTTATACAATTCGTAAGCCGTGAATGAATGGGAAAAGCGAGCGACCGATTTCATTCTCGGTATCATTTTGCATTTGAGAACGGTCAATCAAATTAATATCATTTCCTTTTGTTTGGGAAAGAGAGACACTGGCAGCGGTCCACTCTACCCATGATTATTGGTTTTGGTCAAATTTCTAATACAGATTACAGGGTGGGCCAAAAGTCAGTGGGCATACGTTGGCCTTAATAGCTCCGCCATGTTTTATATTTGAGAGCTGTTGCTTTGCAGATGGCACACTGTACTTACTGGTTCGAGGATTCCGTCGTCAAAATTTGAAAATTCGAATATTTTAGACCACGCCCATTCAATATTAAAACACCTATATTGTTTTCTCTGAACATGCTGAACGCCTAATTTTTTCAGAGACGATAGATTATTAAATGTTGCATATGATCTGAAAACATGTTAACAGGTGATACTCGTAAAATATCTGTTCCATATATTGGACCGTCGACGAGTCCAACCCGGCGCGCGTCCTGATAGGTTGTAAACCTACAAAAAACATGAGACAAAACGGATTAGAAATGACGAAGTTATCAAGCATTTTCTGTATCTCATTAACAAAATTGACTGGGTGATTATGTGACACCGTGACACGACACCGTAATTGGGCACCCTTAACAATTCCCATAATGTTTAACGGGGTCACCTAATCATGCGATTTACGATTAGGTTTAAACCAATCACCTGATCACACGTAATGAATAAACTCGTTTTGCTTCAAATCTCGGTCATCTGAGAAGCTACAGTTCTAATTTTTTCAGGACAAACGTAATTCGAATGGCCAAACACAATTCAATAAAATTTAGCTCGATCCGACTATCCACACTATCAAATAAATGCAAAAATGAACCTTCATTTGAAAAAAATGAACTCTAATATTTTTCGATTTGACAAATTCCTCGAACCAGTGGTGGTAGTAAGTCATACCAGAAAGAATCATTTAAATTGGGCACTCAGTGACTGAGCTATTAAGGCCAACGTATGCCCACTGAATTTTGGCCCACCCTGTATATTGATTTGAATTAACCATATATTCGCGTCAAACGGATATCGCAAGTCGCAACACAGAAGTTTTATTGAATTTCACTTTGTTATATTACTTTTCTATTTAATAGTTTCTCCCTTTCATTTCATACACTAAACCCTGTAAACACACACACACACACACACACACACACACACACACACACACACACACACACACACACACACACACACACACACACACACACACACACACACACACACACACACACACACACACACACACACACACACACACACACACACACACACACACACACACACACACACACACACACACACACACACACACACACACACACACACGTACACACATATATGTATATTTTTAAAAGGAAGCGGCGCGCGCTTACAGCTTATAGTAGTCAAAATAGAAAAGTTTTAAAATTAATAATTTTTTACATCAACTGTCTTTTTCTTTAAAAAGGCATAAGATGTATAGAAGTGGAAGGAATTGAGAATGGGTATAGTAGGTAGGTATGTTTTTCGTTCGGTGTCACAAAGGAAAACATGCATGACCTTCCGCATACGTTATTTTAATGTATATTGTCCGCGCGCAGAGCAGTTATGGTGTCGTCGACATGGTTACCCTCCGCATACGTTTGCACGATTTGACGATTGATTGAATTACACCTCAAATGCGCGGCGCCAAGCATACAATTGGAATTCTATGGTAATTGATTTGAATAACAAGCGATTTCCCGAATCTTATAAATGTGTTAAGTAGCTCACGCTCTTCTTTACTTGATCATTGATCATGATGCGGTACAACATACTAACTTCTCGTTTTGTTGTGAGTGCTTGATTTGTTATACGAAATGGACCATAAATGTTATTATGAGTTGCATGATTACCTACTACGGATTTCACGACTTTTATCTGCATATCACCACACAGGTGCAGGCTACGGTGTCCGGTCATTTAACTTTTTAAATTTGACTATTGACAATGGCAACCCTCCACTTTATGTTCCGTAGCGCCCCAAGAATGGTGAATAAAGAACCATTATTTAATATTTTGACCAACATGAAACTATCGTTAATTTTAATTTCAAATTTTAAAAGGCATGGCAATCACTACGGTTGATGGAAATCTAGCGTCCGCTAACCGGCGCAATTCTTGTTAATATTCTTTGAATTTAAATGCTGTCGTAAAAGTCAAGTGATAAAATATAAAAGTAAGTTAGTAAGAGGATGGATGGTTACAGATTATTGTAATATTCAATATTTAGATGAAATATTAATTTACTAATGTTAATTACAGCCAAAATACAATATGTATATAATAGGAACAGCGACATTTGACATTGGAGTAGATCCAAAAAGAAATCGCCCGGTGAAGTGGCGGTACATAAACGTACGTGCATACACACATATATATACGTTATATACCGGCCGGACCATATATATTATACGCGCGTGCGCAAAACCTCATTATTAGTTATTGCGCGCTACACACACGTCTAAATCATGCAATGGAAAGTTTCACTCACTTACTCGAAACTGTTCTCAATTATGTTCAAGAATCTGAAAATGGGAAATAATTGTATCTGGTATTTATTTTGTCTTAGTGCTCTTCCAATTTCAATTTGATAGGAGTTTAGTTGTATCTGAATGATTATCAACTGACATCCTCAATATCGCCTTCATAGATCGTTGTCGAAGAATATTGGAGCTGACTGTGTTGTGTAAATTAATACACCTTGTGTAGAATATAGACTCCTGAAAGTGTTTTGTTTGATAAAATAGAATATAATCATTGCAAAATATGTATAACAATCATTGCAATCGTCCTCACTCAAATCATGTCACGACGGTCACTGACAGGGGACACGAAAAACTTTACCTGGGGACCTCAGGCTATTATATTTATGTTCATAATCATAGAGATTCGCCGGAATGACAGGCTGAGCGCGGCCCAGTAAGAAAAACTAAATTCTTGTGCTCTGGCATTACAAAAAGTAATGATATTGTAGATTATAATTAGGTTATTTTTATGTAATATCTAACCTGGATCCATGGATGAAGTAGAGCCTCCTCAGCCGTTAGCCTCGCTTTTGGGTCCTTGCAAATCAGAGATTGTATGAAGTGTTTAGCAGCAGTGGAGACTTCTGACCAGGGCTGAAATTTGGGAAGGAGTAAGAAAACATTATGATTATAATCCTTATACAATACTTTAATCTTAGAGAGAGACGGGCAATACTACAATCAACATTTTGCATGTTTCAGAATACAATATATATACATTTTGGAGGGGGGGGGGGGCTGGGGGATTATTTAAAACATTCAGGTGATACGAAAAGATTGTTTTTAGCAGGAGCTTTCAAAATACATGTGTAAATCGTCTTCAGCTCTATGAATTTTTACAACTTTACCAAATGCGGAAAATTGATTTGACAATTTTGAAAACCTCGTCATAGAATGAGAAAAGAATATTTGTTATGTCAATGCTGTGAGTTTGTTTTTGAATAAAAGGTTTAAACCGATCTGGTTAAAAAAAGTTTGTTTGGAATATTAGAGAAAAGAAATTGTAACACATTCGCACAGTTACCAACATAATCTCATTAGAAAGTAGAAACAATTCTAAAAGTTTAGTTGAAGTCTTTTTCTGCTGCCTTTTTTTCCTTAATAACATCACCAGTAACATCACTGCAATTATTGTGCTGACAATCCCCACTGTTAAGAACAAATGGCACAAATCTTCTTTTCTGTTTTCTTTGTTTCTGACTCGACTCGACTTCGTGCATAGTTGAGGTTTTGCGTCTTCGGAACAAACTAAAGTTTGCGTTAATGTGTAATTCCCGGTTTTTCACTCCGTAACCCTAGTCGCACTGTATCTCTACTTGGTATCCTGGAAGAACAAAGGGGACCTTTTCTTTGTTTCTTATAACTCCGTGTGGAGTAGAGTACTGAGACAGGGGACAGGATGACTTCTTTTTGGTAGAAAGAGGGAACTCTAAACGATATTCCCAAAAGTGACTTGGCTAAAGTGTTAAAGTTCCTTCCGGTGAAAAGTACGTCTAAACTTTTCTCACTTCCAGATGCTGAGTAGATCGAGTGTAAGTCCTGGTATTTAATTATCTGTTCAATTCTCACAAAAACCAACTGCGGATCTTTTTCTTTAGGTAAAATTGATCGACATGTTGATAATATTGCCATCTTTATTCCGTCCTCAGCAACGAGAACATCTAGACACAGGTCCAACTCATCTGCTGGAGAGATTTGATAAAGATCGACTCCTTCCACTTTAAGATCTTGACGTTCTGGATCTTTCAGAACCCATTTGCTTCCTTCTTTGCAAGGTTTCCACTTCAAACTATAGCTGAAATCATCTTCTGGCTTCGCTCTTAGAGATTTGCCCTTGGTCAGACAAGTTATCTGAACTAATGCTTGCTCTATCAGAAACCCTACCCCGGATATGCTGAGAAGTAATATTATATCTGTTATACTAGCTCCTAAAGATGTTTTCTTTGAAAATTCCATGCAGTCCTTTTCAAGTGTGACGGAAAAGCCTTTCTCAACTTCACGGTTGATTTGGATGCTCTCTCCGTTGAATAAGGAACAAGTACTGTTTAACATTTTAAAGGAGAGACTGTGGCATTTGAAGTTATATTTGCAATACAGCCAGCATTGAAGTGCTCCTGTTGTAATGAACATGTTTAGATGACCTTTATCGGGGTTTTTTGCCAGGTCAATTCTAAAGCATACTATAAAATCTGACTCTTCATTATTGGCTGGCTGAGAAGGATCAGGTGGGGAAGAATACGGTCTGGGAGGCACCTCTGGAGGAATGTCACTCCATGCTTGTACTGAAATCACTTTAATAAGGAATGTGACTACAAGTGCGGTCGACATGTCTGCAAAGAATAAACAATTATAGAATTTACTCGCCTCAGATAGAATTATTATCAACCTTATAAATAAAGAATCAAGTACTATTATACTCATAGCAATAATTTTTAAAATAAATATTATTTAATATAAAAATATTATGGATTGAAATTTCCGTCGACGAAATTAACATCTGTACAAACCCTGCTTTGTCAGCACAGAGACCAACAGGAAATATAGAAAGATTTTGAAAATATGTTTGAAGAAATGGACTTTAGCAGTTAGACTAAGCAGATAGTTAGCTGCAGATAGTCTAACTGCACTACAGATAACATAGCTGCAGAGTCAGTAGACCATGTTTCCTGTCACAAAAACATTTACTTCCACCTCACTTCTACCAGACATGGCAGCTCACTGGCTTATCTCAACACACTGAGCAACTCGTCCATCTATAACTTCGTCCCAGTCTCATAAGAACATTTGGGTGGCGCGCGTCAGGATTAAACTGAGTACTTCAGAAAAGGAGACAGTTCAAATCGGATCTCCAGCTGCAGAAGCTTATCTGCAGGTACTTTTCAGACACCTTTGTTGCGGTGAGGGATCAGGTATACTATAAATAAATTAAGTGTACCCCCCCCCCCCCCCCGTTTGTTTGCTGATAAACCATGACTCTGGACAACGTCGAGCGTGGATATTATATGGATATTATTCTCAGTAAATTATTTTACTCTTGATTACTGCTTTTATTGGTAGTTATTTTAGAGTTGAATTGGAGACAACTTTACATTATTCTGTTTCAAGAACATGCTTATAATTATTTCAGCTATAAATGCCTGAATTAATCTGTTTTTGTATAAATAAAAAGCGTGGCTTTGGTAAATAAATAATACTGATATTTTTTTATACCATATAAAAAATAAACCACAACATAAGCTGGTTATAAACCATACATCCAACACATCATATCTCTCACTAAGTTATACTAAAACCGTATCTTATTAAACGAAAATCCAATCAACTCAATCAAAAGTGACAAATATATGTCAATTGTCAGGGTCTTGTTGGTAAAAGTCTTGGAGATTCTTAGATTGGACAGGTTTATACACTGAATTTGGTTCGAAAAAAAAAAAAAAATACAGGAAAAACAAGAAACGAATAAAAAAGCCATGGTCTCACGAATTTTAATCAAGAAAGAAAGAGACTTCGAATCTTCTGTAGATATCCCTGTTAAAACCAAAGAAAAAACCCACTTCATTCCCCATTTCACTACTCCCTAGCAGTTACAAATTTTACCAAGTTGTACTCAAAAATTATTTCGATGGTAAAAATTAGGTTTCAAAGTTACTGTTAAGGAAATAGCAAAATTTTTGGCCTCATAACAAAAATGATTAACTGGAAATTAAAAGAATAACTAATCCTAGTTTTAAATATTAACAATCTCCATTTAAAATTGAAATAGTCATATTATGGGCATGTCTGTATTAAGAAACTGAGTTTTGTCGAGTAACATTCGATACACTGTGAGTATCCAGTAAACCAAAAATCCGTCAAAATATTCAAAATAAAATTTAAAATCGAAATCATTCATGAATTCACCAACACAATAAAATTGAATGACATAATTTACATCTAGAAACACACGTTCACCCACAGCTATATTCCCTATGTTGTCTCAGTTTCGACTTGTTGCCATGTAAACGTACTCCAGAGCGTGTACACGGACGAAAATACACATCTCAGCGATCTATTATCACCTGAAGAATGGAGAGTTTGAGAGAAAGACAATTTTGTAAACTTTTTAAGTATATATCCACGAAGCAGATATCTCAAACGCAGATTAGAATCTGTTCAAATATTAGTCGACCTCGATACTAGCTTTTGAACAGCAAGTCCTACTAGAGAAAACTTATATCTAATCATTATAGAAGAAGTTTTTCGTCGTTTTTATTTAGTCTTTTTGTTGTTATAAATTCAATGTATCACACAAGTAAAAATCATTTCCTCAGCCAACATATTCTAGAACCACGGGTCAACGGTCACAGAGATAATTTGACGGGGCAGTGTTTTGTAACATAAACTAACTATAAGGTAATTAATATAAGGCCTTATAAGGCATGAATTAGTCACAAGATCTAGTATACTAGGTGTCTCAAATAAATCTTACAGACGTCGAATATTGAAAAGATGTGAGTTTTAATATGATACTTATATTTGGAGACCACCGCACCTCCGCTATCTATTTATGGACCCGGGATCCAATGGGCGTGAGACAACACTCGATTTTAATGCTATCTCGCTAAAAGTTGACACTTCTTTTCACAAACAAACTTACTTTAGTTTGTGAGAACTCATTTGTACGTGCCAATATATGTTATCACATTTATTATATAGAATAATATATAGAATAGATTCTTAAAGGATATTACCAATACCCTAATTATTATTATCTAAATCAGTATAAGATGAACTTTTTCGATCTTTGGTTTTCCCTTTTACTTCTATGTAATGATAGCGGTCCCATGCCCCCACAATAACACCACATTTTGCTTTTTATCATTCATATAGTTACGACATTCCAGAACCAAACACAAAAAAGCACACGACTAGAGAATAACGGGAAAATTTTAAAAAAGGAAATTTTTCAAAAACTCCTTTTTATTCAGACGAAAATGGACGCATATGTTAAAAGGTCCTCAAAAACCCGATGCGCAAGAACGAAATATATGGAAGTAACGTAGCAACAGTATACCAAACAGTTGGCAACCAGAAAAGTCCAAGGATGCATCCTCAACGACGGGTCCTTCAAGCACAGCAGTGATATTGAGCCTCGTCCTATCTCTGAACACGCACTTCCAATGTCCGCAGCAGCAACCATAATGAAGAATAGGGACGAAATCCTTCTCCAGTCCTTGTGGTAATCATATATGATCATGGCGTTCTGGATCACGATATAAACAGCTATTGTGATATTGAGTGGGGATATATACTGAAAGCCAAAGTCATGACCGTCATGAACTAGAGAGGTACTGGGAGGAGAGTTTGTGGTAGTCATATTGTTTGTCCAGATCATTGTTCTGCGTGGAATTAAACAGGAATTAAACGGGAATTAAACATGAAATGACCAAAGAGAACACTAACGAACTCGTCTTGGTAATACAACAATTCATAAAGACGACCAAAACTCTAAAAATCGAGAGAAAGTTATAAAAATAAAATTTTAAAAATTAACTGCGTTACAATTTCACGAAAGAGAAAAAAATATATAGATAATAATGGCTTTAAGGCACAACACACAAAAAGGTAGATTAAT